CAGCCCTCAGCAGAAATGCTGGATTTGTATTATTAGAATGTGAAGAGAGTTTATAGAGTGGAAGAAGAGAAAGCCTGGAGAAATGTATGTGACAAAATCTTATTTTTTTGTAGAGAAGCAGTGCTTTGTAGTTCCTGATGGCCGATGTCTGTTGTAAATAATGTATATTTAATTTATTGCTATGGTAGCAGATTGTATTTGTTATGTATAAAACTAAAGGTTCACAAATGTATATTTTGTTGCTTAAATGTGTCTTTGCAAAATTCACAATAAATAACCTATTTTGTGTCCGGATGTGTGCTACGCGTGTGTCCCTGGGGGGGAGGCAGGGCCGCTTTGGCGCCGCACACCTGGATCTCTTGGTGGCTCCCCTGGGAGCAGCTGGCAGCTTCCCCGTGGAGCAGGACGGGCAGCAGGTCGCGTCGGGAACGCGGCCCCGCGGGAAGCGGCAGCTCCTCCCATGAATCTGCATTGCGAGAGGCCCTCTTGGCACAGGGAGAGCCGCGGGCACCTCTCGTGTGCGGGTCCAGGAGGGCCCCGCTGCCCCGGGGGCTGCTGAGCCCCCCGTCTCCTCGGCAGGAGCAGCGGGCCCAGCGGGGAGGTTCGGGAGCTCGGCAGCGGTGCAGGGCCTGGACCGCTCTGCGGAGCAAACCCGCTGCCCGCGGCACTTGAAGGCGGCGTTGGAGGAGACGCAGGTTGTGCAGCACCCGGCATTGAAAGAGCAGTGAACCCCCCCCAGCTTCTCCCCTTGTTCCGCTGCTACCGCGTAGAGAACAAGACACAAATACCCCAAAAGCAGCCACTGACCCTGTTTAAACAACAACATTGACCAACACCATTCATGCGATCGCAAGCGCTACGCGGACTCCCTGGGGCGCAGCGGGGCCGGTCAGAGCATTCCTCTGTGCCCGTTATTCCCAGCCGCGAAACCTGCAGCACGTTTTACCACATCAGGGTCCCCGCTTGTTGGGAAGGGGGCTATGGGGTTGTGCTGAAGCAGAGTCTGGGTTTGGCAAATCCTATCTCCAGCTGAGATGAAGCACACTTGGTGCAAGGTGGAGTCACTTCTTTGTACTGCCCGTCCTGAGGAGAACAGCAAAACCAGGTCAAGACTGCAGCAGTGCTACGTAAAGGGCTGGAACAGGGTGCGCGTCAGCCCTGGCGTCTGCACACAGAGCTTGTGCCTGAATTTAATTTAATTCATATTTGCAGGCAGAAAAGTGTTTTATATATATACATGTATACTCACACACTGAAAGGATTTCTCCTGTCTTGAGCTTTTCATTGATACTTTTTTTTTTGGTTTCTTGCAATGGATCATAATAAACACTCTCTTTTCTTTTTCTCATTTGGATAGAAAACCAATCTTTCCCCCTTTTAACCTCAAGTAGAGTGGAATAAATGGGAAGAAAAAAAATAAAATGAACAAATTTGTGTTTTGTGGTTGATTGATTTTGGTTGCTGGGATAATACAGCACTCATTACAGCTTTTCCTGTAAGAAGGGAATCTATTACGGGTCCTGCTGGTGCTGCATGTGTTTTCTGATTTCTCCTCCCCTGAGCTGTCTGCTGGGCAGTTAGGTCTGGGCTCACCTGGCCCTCTCCCTTGGGAGGCCTCCTTCCTCCACATGGCTATTTAAAATAAGCCTCATGGCCACACTACCCCCAGCTTTGCTTCTTACCTGTCTGGGATGAAAGGTCCCGAGACTAGCAAGGTTTGGGCTGCAGGGTAAAACAGAGAAATGCATCAGCAAAGAGTAAAATGGAAAGTGTGTGAAGGTCATATGTGTTTCTGATAGAAAAGGGGGAACACAAAACACACCTACCTTAGTAGTGCTCCTCACTAGGGCAGAAGAAAAGAAAAAAACGTGTGAATAAAAGAAGGATGAACCACAAGTTCTATCTCCCAGCCCTAATAAAACAGTTCAGCTACACTAGGGCTTGGGGAAGAGTCTCAGCTAGTGAACAGGAGCTCTACAGCTGTCAATTCATCCTGCCTCCAGCACAGAAATACCACCCCCCACCAATTCCCTTCCTTCCCGAAGCCCAAGCCTGGCTCTTTGTGCACCCAAAACCCCATTTTACCTCTGTGAAGGCAGTGCAGCATCACGAGGAGGCACACGGAGAGGCCAAGGAGGAGGAGAAGCAGCCAGACGATGGAGGTTCCTTCTGCTCATGAACAAAAGGAAAACAGCGGTAGAGACAAGCAAAGTCTATGCGATCTGAGGCCTGGTACGAGTTGTTATCCATGCACAAGAGAAAGACATACTGCAGTAGCACATCTATGACGGAATTCTATACATTTTGCCAAGGGCATCTGCTAGATAATTCAAAAAAGATACTTGCTCCTTATGGAAAAGAATGTTAATTATGGGGGAGAACTGCCTGGGAAGTGGCTTCCCTGATGAATGGACATTTGATCAAAAATCATGGTGCATGGGGAGTGCAGGGAAGGGACAGCAGTGAGAAAGGAAAGAGAGAAAGGGGAGAGATGAGTGGGAAGTTCCTGATGGGTGAAGCGCCAAGGGGAGCGGGTGTCTCAGGCGAGCGGTACCTCTCACTTTCACCACGACGCTTCTCCTGATGGGGGTCCGCAGGCTCTGATGTTCCACGCGGCACGTGTACGTGTGCCCGTTGTCCCTCAGCGAGGCCGTGAGCAGGAAGTACTGGGAGAAGCTGTAGGTCCCGTTGCTGCTCTCTCTGTGGCTGCTGGGGATAACGTTCCTCACCACGTCCGGGACCTTCCTGGACCCCGCCAGCTCCCGCAGCCACTGAGCCTGGGCACCAAGCGGGTAGTAGTTCCTGATGTCGCAGATCAGCTTGTGCTGCTCTCCTTCCACCAGGGACAGGGAGACAGCATTGACGGACACTGTGGGTTTTTCTGTGGAGTGAAGATCTCTTACAGTGCTACATCTCTTAACTTGTAAAGTCTATTCCCACCACTGAACAGAACTAAATACAGTTTCATATGCCATTTGTTCAAGCATTCCCCGTCACACTGAAATACCAAGTCCTCCAGAGCCCATCCTATTACCTTCTATTTGCAGCTGGATCGCCTGTTGCCCAGTAAGAGATGACACTGACACTGAGCAAGAGTACATTCCTTCATCTCTCATTCCCACATTTCTGAGTAAGAGAGAGGCATTCCCCTTGGGGATTTCCTCTAGGAACATCTTCGCTCGGTCAGCTGCATGTTCCACCAGGTTACGGGATCCGTCGTAAGTGAACAGGGGTCTCTGGAGCCCTCCTTTCTGATGCAGTACCCATTGGATGGTCACAGCTGCTCGGTGATCGGTGGAGAAGGCACAGTCAAATAAGACATCCTTGGACAGGGCTGACCGCACTGCAGAGGTTCTGGTGTGCACCAGGAACACCACTGTGAGACAAAGGCCGTGGTGCCATGAGGGGTTTGGACACTTGTGCAAAGCAGAGCAATACAGATGAGCACAAGTTGCCATCTAGTGAAGCGAACCTGTATTACAAGCCATGAATGTTACGGGCTGCTTCAAAACAAAAAGGTGATTCTGTGGCTAATTTGCCCATGACTCATTTCACTTATGCAACGCAAATGATGAAGCCGCACAGCCTGCAGGCCCGGGACCTTCCCAAGTCTGCATAGCCATAGGAAATTACATGTTTGGACAAGGCTGTCACCCTGCCTGCCATGTAAGGAAGGATACAGGCTAATATTCCCTAACACCTTTTTACAGCACTTTTCATCTGATTTTGGACCACTACCATATTCATCTTTGTTCTTGTCTCCATTTATGTGACAGAGTAATAGATGGAATAGTTCAATCCTTATTCTTAATTGTAGCAGAGGATCTAATGAAGCAGCAGTCCCCTCCTACCTCCCTGACTATTGCTTTAGTCACCGTGACCCTAATGTCCTGGAGGGAAGGAGCACCAAGGTCCACATGGATCTCTGCACAGGCTGCAGGGCAGCCACCAGCTGCAAAGCATGAAGAGTAGCTGAGCAGTCTGGGTGGTCAATCAACAGCTGAATTGCCTAATTAGCCTAATGAGAAGGCTATAAGAAACAGCTGGGCAAGAGTAACAGAACTGGTTGTGCTGTATGAAGGAAGGTTCTGGAAAGAGCTCTCCTTCTCCAGCTGCTTTGCTTCCCGAGCTGAGGTTCTGCCATACTTTATGTTCTTGGACATAGCAGGGGTCTGAGCTTGTAGCAAAGTGCCTCCTTTTGCAGTGAGTAGTGGTTTAAATCCGGCTTTTTCCTGGGGTGGAGGGGTGCTGCTGCAGGCCCAAGGGAATGGGAAAAATGGGAGAAAGGGCTGATCCCTGGGCAGCGTGTGCCTGTGATGGCCTTTGCTCCGGCAGCGCGCGGTGTCACACACCGTCACTAGCTGCCTGCTCTCGTCCTAGCCCCAGCAGCAGCCGGGGGACAGCGGTGGGTGGCTGCACCCAGGGGTGCCCGACCTGCCTGCCAGCGCTGCGGGTGTTTGCACTGATCAACGGGAGGTTCTGGTAGGGTGGTGGTGAAGTGATACGTGGGTCTGTGGTTTGGAGACAGAAACAGGGAGTGGGTTTTCTTTTCCTGGCACTGTTAGTGTCCTTCTGCATATGTCAGCTGCCATCCTCTTTGTTTCTTAACCTGAAACTCCTTTCTAACCTTAAAATAGTACCTCATGCTGAAAAGCTTATTTTTGATATGAACACTGTGCAAGCATTCTTTGAGCTGGGAAACTAATGCAAGTCTTAATGCATGTGTGTATATTAAAGCTTTGTTGTTTTAAGCATCTGTTAGAACTTTCAGGTATGGTGGTGTGGAAGTTTATAAATAGAAAACAATTACACTTTTGAGAACTGGCTTTGAAGTTACTTGTTTCTGTAAAATAGGCATAATCTTCAATATAAGGGGGTACATATGTTTTTCAGTAAAAGTGGTTTACCTTACAGTATATTAGAAAGCTACCTTGAGCTATCTGTTAATACAGACCACATGAGATAACAATAACCTATGATTTAGGTATGTGTAGGATAAACAGCTGTTGCAAAGTGTAAAGCTACTATTGGAGCGTTTAGCATTCTGTCCTAGATGGAAAGGGAAAGGCAGGCTGTTCTTTTTACCTAATCCTTCTGAAACTCTCCTGCATATGAAGTTTTATGGGATACAGCTGAAATAGCACACTGGTTATTTGCCAAACTTCTTGGACTATAGTTGCAATGTCCTTGATGGCTGCATTTGTTTAATAGTGTAAATATCTGTAGGGGGATGCTATAGAAACACAAACTGTTGGCTCATTAATGAATGTTACCTGAAACATGAGTCTGTTCCGCGATTCCCTGCGCAGGCTGCCCTTGGCTGTGGTTCTCCCTGTCTCCCTGGGTTTGCACAAGGAAGATGGTAGTCTTGTGTTTTTCAGCTTTGTGCTCTATGGTGCATATAAACCACGAGCCCAAACCGCTTCCTCTGACTTCTCTCCCAGGCCAGATGATCTGAGTGTTAGGGGGGAAATATGTGCTGATCCTACAGTCGAGCGTGTCGATATCCTCATGTATATGCTGAAGAATATCCACTGAGGACTCTATGAAAAACACACATGGACTTGTTATGATCCCAGTTAACTTTAATATACTCAGCCACTGCCCTGGTCTTGGACACCATCCCCACCTCATGGTGGAAGGGCTGGAGAGGGCTCCGTGTTCCCTAGTGCTCTGGGCAGCTCGAGGTGTCAAGGATGAGATCTGCCCCCCTTCCTGCAGGCCCTTGGCTTTTGTTTGCTCCAGGTCTCCCCAACTTCTCACATTAATTGGGATCTGAACTTGTCCTCTTGACTTGAGCAAATAACTCACCTTCTAGCACAAATGAGGGGATGCTATACTGTGGATGATTTTCTGAGGGAGATCTCTGAGCCTCCTCTGGTTTGGTCCCGCTCAGCAGCAGCCTGGCATTCAGCCTGATGGTCTCCGGTTCTTTGGACGGGGGGATGGCTTTGCTTGTCTCGAACACGCAGGAAAGCTGCTGGCTCTTCCTGAAACTTGAGCCGGCCATAGCAATTCCATTTGGGTTCCTTGCGATTGCTGAAAGGCAATGGCCATGCACACAGATTTTAAATGTCACAGTTACTTTTAAAAGCCATCAAAGCTTAGCTTACTAACAGGGGAAACAGCATAGCCTGTGCCTGTTAGGAGCCATGTAGTCCACAGCATTTTGGTTATGTCATGGTGGGTTTTTTGCTTTTTAGTATCATAATCAAATACCTTTTTGTTAATTCTTAAATGGAGCTTTTTTTTTTTTTTTTTTTTGAAAAAGCTAAGCAAGAGTTGAAAGAGAAGAATAATGCTCTGAAGAGCAAAGTAGCTGCTCAATGAGTGAAGCATTGCATCTTGCTGGAAGCATCTAGATGCTGGAGTAATCTTAAGATGATCTATATACAGGGAATACTGTATCCTTTGAAACCATCATATCCTGAAGTTCAGGGGTTGTTATATGTAACTGTGCCAGATTTCCAAGTTAGTGTGCAGCTGGTGGCAAAGAGGAGAACATTAAAGGTCAGGCTGATAAAACCCTGCAGCTTCCTCAAGAAGTAAATGGGGAAAGGTTGTGTGTTGGGCTTATGTGGAAATATTGTCACTGAGTAAAAATCCACAATTTCAAATTACTTCCCAGCAGCAGATAATGTATTGTCAATTCCTTGAATTCCTTTTGTGCAAGGATGTTTTTTTTCTACAAAGTGTAAGAACAGAGGCTAAATGCAGCCTGAAGGGTAATACTATGAGGATGTTAAGAATGCTAATTTACAGGTATGTCTATATTAGTATGGATCTTTCATGGTGAGTTACTTTTGGATGCAGGGGACAGGAACATGTGAATATTGCTGTGATACTGAACTCAACAGCAGGAGCCATACACAACTAAACCCACTTTTAGTTAATTATATTTTTGGAACTGACAGAAGCAGACAACACAATTAGCAATGGGAAAGCTGCCAGTGAGTGATGGTGGGAAACAACATGTTCTGGGGGATGGCAGTTAAATCCTCTGGGGAGGAGGAGAAGGTGATGTTTCACAGGATGAATGCAAAGCAAAGATCTGCCCAGTTTTACATAGGCAAGTGCAGTTGCAAAACGGGGCCTCTAAATCCGGCTCTGCTGCAGGCAGTACGTGCTGATAGCAAATGCAACCACCCTCCCCTGCAGAGCATGTAAGCAGTGCAGCCCAGTGCAACATGCTCTGTTCTAACTTGCTTAGGCAAAAGCACGGGTTGGACTAATTTCTGAAATTGTCAGCTTTGTGTCCATGCCAAGGACACAAGGAGGAGAGGAGGAGGAGAAAAACCGAGTTGCTTTCATGAAAAGACTTTGGGGTTAATTTCAGTTCTGAAAAAGCCAAGATTTTAAAAGTCAGTTTTGAGGCCACTTGAGATGTTTTAGCAAGATCTTGATCATTTCCCCCTCCCAAATGAACACATTTCGTGCTGAGCAAGTGTGGGTAATCGGGAGCAAACGGGTCCCTCCCGGCGCGTCCCCTGCTCCGAGCCGCCCCTCGCGGTCCCGCAGTGTCCTCCCGCGTGTCGTGTCGCGTCGTGTCGCGGGGCCCTCACCGAGGCAGAGCAGGCAGCCCGCGCCCAGCAGCGCCCCGCAGCCCATGGCGACACCCTCCGCCGCGGGATCCTTTTCGCTTTCGTTTCTCCCTCGCTTGTGCAAGGGGCAGGCCGAGGGGAGGAGAGCGGGTTTTGTTCGTGTTAACTCTCTCATCGCTGCTGTGCAGCTGCTGTCTGCAGTCCTTGCAGCAGAACATGCCAGTGCCTCGCTGCCCTCGCAGGGGCTTCTGCCCTGTGCAGCCTGGTACCTCTCCTGCATGCTCTGCCTTGACCCCTGAGCTGGGAAAAGCAGGTTTTCTCTCCCAATGTGCCTCAGCCTGCGCCCCGAGCGTTCACCCAGCCGGGACTCCAGTTCTCCCTGCTTGCCTGGGTGCAGGGGGATTTTGCAGCTGCTGGATGTGAGACATCCCTGAGCTTCCTCTCCTGGGCGGTATCTGCAAAGCAAGCCCAGGCAACACTTGGCCATTTGATGTCTTTGGTCTGGAAAAAGATCTAAAACCGCTTAGAGCTGGGATAAGCCCCTTGAGCCAGTCTTTATGCTGGAAACTGCAGGAATTGGCAATAAATTCCTTGTTCAAAGCAAGTTTGAGCGGCCCAGAGCTGCTGGCCTCAGTGTCACCTCAGGTCCTGCTGCATCTGCTCCCTGGGAGAGGCTGTGTCTCCTTCAGCCCCATGGAGCATCGGGTGCGTTGGCCTGGTGGGACCTGCAGCGAGTGCTCGGTCTGCAGTGCCCAGCCTGGTCCTCGGCACCGTGCGAACGAGCTTCGCTCTGGTGCAATTACATGTTAGATATTTTAAAGCTGTTTTGTGTTATCTTATCAGATTTGGCAGCAGGGTGCACTACATCTATTAGGGAAGCTGATAAAGCCGTGTCTCTATTTTTAATGAACATCTATGTGTGCTAGGTAATCATGTTGGATTTTAGTCATTAAAACACCTTCTGAATGTAATTTATTGAGTAATTTTCTAGCCACTGTTGGAAAGTTAAATGAAGTCCAGGCAATTCTTCTAGGTCACTGTTTCAGATCCAGCTCTGATTGATGATTTGTGTGGCTTAAGAAGCAATCAAGGTTGCAGTTAATGGAAAGCATGCTTGACCTTGTTATTAAATTTGGAACTGGGGACAGAAAAATCTAGCTGTGGATTTATTTTAGGTCTGCAAACTCGATATAAATAGTTTTCATATTATGGCTGATCTTTATAGCAGTCATTTGTACATGTTATTGGATTAAGTTGAGTATTTTGAGAATGAGGTGTGTGTTTCAAAATGACAAACAGGACACTGAGATGTGCGGCAACATGTTAGAGCAATTCACAACCAGTTTACTGGATCTCCAAACTGCTCAGAACCTTTCCTGGGGAAAAGACTTGGGGTCACCCAGACAAGAAAAATAACCATCCCTGCTCAAATCATGGTTGTGTGGATTCATTTAATGTGGTTTTGATGTTTGTGGCAGTTATGCTTCCATTAGACTTCTTGATAATAAAAGATTCTTATTTCTCTCACCATGAAATGTCATCTCAGAATGTGTATGAATTTATGGAAAGCACAGTGACGCTAATGTACTTTCTTTGTAAAATTAGAAGTTTTTGGCACATGTAGGTGTTTCAAACACAGCTCAGTAAGCTGTCGAGCTACTGAAAATATAAATCTTCTAGTGTTTAATTTCAGCAGTGGCTGTATTCCAAAGGAGGAGGAGGAAAAGCCAAAACTCATCGGTTTCCAGTTTTATTTCTTGGACCTTTTGAGACTCGAAGGATTCCTCCTCTGGGCAGAAGATGGCGCTGGAAGCACAGAAATGAAAGCAGAGTCCTTCAGCTTCATGAAATACTCCTGTATTTGAATAATGTCCTGGGTTTGATCTGCTTTGTTACAGAAGGTCCTCTTGTACTGCAGAAGTTTTTAGCTTTAACTGAGCTGAGGTTTTCATTATTATAACATTGCATCTCTATATGTACTAAGCAGGGCAGTTTTATAGATATTGATAAATTGTTAGGGAGTTTTGGTGCCATGTGAGGAAAAAGCAGTCATCATACAATTTCATTGGTTTATTAATTTAATGAGCTTGGCTCTATTCCTAGAAATGATGGTGCTACTTTTTGCTGCTTCTGCTGATCCAGAAAACCACAAAGATGGGGATATGTGGAGAAATGTAACATCAAAGAGCAGAGTGGGTTTGGAAATTGCAGGTATGTTGATGTGTTATTGCACTTCCTGACAGTGTCAAAAGCCAAAAGACAAGTTTGATTTATTTTAGATCTGAATCAGATGTAGACTCTTTATAGCCCTGCTAGCCCTCAGGGAATGGCTTCTTATCTGAAACTTGCAAGGAAGAGCCTTTTGTTGCCTATAAACTTTGCTTTGGCTATTTCTACCAAGTAACTGAGAAGTTTTTTTTAACAGCTGCTTCACTTGTTACAGGAGTTATGACCAAAACCAGTGTTTTCTAGGACAACTCCTGCATCCTTGTGCCTGTGCTAGAGTATAGGAGACAGAGAAGCTGAGCTACAAAAAAAAGGCAAAAATGAAGGAAAACCCAAACCTGCCAAAAGATACTGGCTGTATCTTTTATTCTGGCTGTTTTTTGGTGTTGGGGCTGCTTTGCCTGTGCCCATACTGAATGTTACTGTATAATCTAGTGTGACTGTTGTAACTCTTGGCAAATAGCAAGAGTATCTCGCTTGCAATTGAAAAAATATAGAACAAGTTTTCATTTCACTATCATTCTTCCTGGGCAGAGTCTTTAGCATGAAAATTCATTTTTGCTTCATAATGTCCCACATGGGGACCAAACCTAACTTACTATAAAAGAGGATGAAAGGATCTTCTGAGTTGATCTATGCTGAATGTCAGACTGATACACAGAGGATGAGGTGCCTTATCCTAAAGGGAGCACCCAAGCCTGGGCTGCTGGTGGTGGCGGTCGTGGTGGCTGGCACAAGGGCCACAGAGCGGCAGCATTGCCCCGTTGCACAACGACTGTCTGCATTGGCCTCTGATGGCTTCAAAAAATAGAAACCTGGCATGCATGTAGAACCTGAAAATGAAATAAAAACCCTACAACAAATCAATTTTGTTGTAGAAGCTTAAAGCTTACATGCTTGGGTAAAAGGTGACATCTGTTTGCAACTTTGGAGATACTGGAAGTAGACCTCAACACTCCCATACAGTGAGAGCAGCTCCTGCAGAATTCAACTGCTTTGCTCATGTTGGGAAAAGTTGAACATCAATACAAGGGGAGCAGAGGGGCTGTGTGCCTTCATCCCCCCTCTGTCCAGGAAGACCTGGAGCCCTGGTGCAAACCGGGATATTTAGGGGGACCTGCTGGCTGTGTGTTGAAAGTGTTAATCCCTAGCAGAGGGACTGCATGAGCTGCTGGAGACAACATCCACACAGGAAAACTCAGGAATGCTACTTCTAAACCCAGGAGTAATGTCTGTACTTAAAAAAAAAAAAAAAAAAAAAAAAAAAAGTCTTGCAGAATCTGCTACCTTTGCATTTGCTTGGCAAATGCTGCCAATTAACTATTAACTGAGGAGGGCACTTTGAAGTTTCATGAAGCTTTTCCCCTAAAGTTTGGAAAAAGATTGTTGACAGATTTGCATGAACTTTGATTTTTTTTTTTTTGAAGAATTTGATCTAGAGCTTAATCCCATAAGCAGCTTGGCTAAAGGGAAGGTGGATGGCAGGGAAGATAGTCACATCAGAAGGACAGATTAGGGCCTTTCTGTGGTGAGGATTCTCACTGCTTCATAGTTTTCCACTTAAAAGCATGGCAAAAGCATGTTTTGCATGCACTGAGAGCTTTCTGCCTACACCGAAGTGCCCTGTGTGTATTGTAGTGTGACTTCAAGACAAAATGCACCCTTGGGGGAGTTTTTCATTGCCACTTTAGCAATGATTGATTTATTTTTAATGAAAGCTGAGATTCTGGAGAAGGTAGTTCTGTGACCAGGTTCTGGTGCAGCAGAGATCTAGGCTGTCTGCATGCAGGTCAAGCTCTGCCCGTTGCTTTCTGTCAGCAGCACTGACACCTGCCCCTTGGGAAGGGATGGGACTATTGATCAGTTGTTTCCTTTGGCAGCTGTGGCCTTGCTCCTCATTCCTTCAGTGCCCTCTGGTCCTCATTCTTGTTTTCTTTGCTGACAGTGAGCCTTGCTCCTCGTTGCATAACTTAACCTCATTGGAGAAAAGCTGCTGTTCTGGGGAGTTTGTGGTGGCAGTGCTCAACCTGTCCCCTATGTTTGGGATCAGTTGCTGATCTACACCTACCATGTGGTATTCTAGGAGAAAAATATATATACAGAAGAAACCCTTATGCAAGGTTGTTCTTGGTCACATCGTTGTTAATGTAGCACTGCCACAGGGGGCTGAAGAATGTTAGGAAAGCCTCATTCCCTTAAGCTGTAATTTTCTTCTGAAAATGAATATTGAAGTGGGAACTTCTTGCCCATCCTGGAGCTTTCTCTATTCTTGTTAATGTGACAGGAGGTCATGTAGTTGCAATAGCTTTATATAAAGGCAGAATACACTAATGTACAAGACAGATAACTGCAGGGGACAAGAAGCCTCTGGTCTTTGTGCATGTAAACTTGTGCTGGGTTATCAAAAGAGAAATAGTGACCGAGTTGTTTATGGAGCCTGCCTGTTCTTTTTAATGGGCTTGACCTGACACTTGCACTCTAGGTTGGGTCCAAGCACTGCAGCCAGGATGGGCAGAAGTTCACATCTCTTCTGATTTCAGGCTGCTGCCTGTGGTGATATTTAGTGTGCTAGAGGGACCAAGGGCAGTGCAGCCCCCTCCTCGATGGAGCTGGCCCCTTCATGTGCTGCTGAGATGCAGAGAGGGTCATGGAATAACCGGACTTCCACTCATGACAAAAGTCTGGCTACGGTTCAAGGGCTCGCTGAAAGTCTGGTAGTTTCCATCATCTTAGAGCCAGTCCCGAATTCCCATGATGTTTCTGCCTGTATTTCCTATGTCCGATTGGAAAGTGAAGGAAAGCTGATAGATCTTTACTATGTGCACACAGTGCTGAGGTTTG